CTCCAACACGGCGGCGGCACCGGCGGCGGCGGTGCAGGAAGCCTCGGCGGGCTGGGATCCAGGTACAACCTCGGCCCTTTTGACAAGAGCAGCAGCATCTACCTCCCCAAACGCGCCGTCGACCCGATCCTCCTCGACGCCATCCGCTACATCCGCTCCGCCGACCCCGGGTCGCAGACCGACTCCCGCCTCGCCTCAAAGGGTCCCGTCATGTCCGAGGAGCAAAAGCACATCTGCGCCTCGCTCGACCGCTGGCACGCCGCCTTCCTCGCCTTTGTCGAGAACCCCCGCAAAGACGCCGACGGCGACCGTCCCCTGCCGAAACACCAGGGTCTCATCTGCGCCGAGACGGAGATGAAGTACCAGGCGGCCAAGATCTGCATCAGCGTCTGCCGGTCCCACGACGAGTCTGTGTACGACTGCTTCAAGGAGAATTTCGCGCGCATCGTCGTGCTCGCGCGGTTGATCCTCGATAGCTGCCCCGACGTGCCGCCCGAGTCGCCGGACGATTTCCAATTCGACTTTAAACCGAGTTTCCTCTCCCTCGTCGAGTTTGTGATCGTGAAGTGCCGCTGGCTCGATATACGGTACCAGGCGTGGCTCATTGCGTGGGAACTCGCCATGGGAAGGCGGGAGCCCGTGACGCTGGGCGAGGGACACGAGCTGCACTACATTGGCAAGCGGATGATTGAGCGGGAACACAACGTTAGCATCGAGGAGGTGACGAGGCAGAACGCCAGCCTGTTTTCGTTGCCGGCCGAGGAGATGCGCGTCAAGGACTACCTTACCGACGCCCGGTTTGCGGATTTGGTCCAGACGGACGATAAAAAGGATAAATCATCGTCGGCAGCCGTCACAGTACAGGTACCGTACACCCAACGTCTGCTGCTCCGCTGCGGCAGCTGTGAATTGGATCAGCTTGCTGGCTGGATGGAGGGCTACGAGTTTTCGGGGAGGGAGCAGTGAAAGGGGGACGAGTCATGAGCTTGAAAAGAGTTCATGTTCGTGTTTGCTGCCGGTCCGAGAGGGCAAAGCGCGATAAAATCCTCCCTGCCCCCTTCTTTTTATTCACTTCTCTTCTTCTTTGCATATTATTACCATGAGCGTGGACTGCCCTGCTTCGATCATAGCGACGAGGATGAAAATTTTAGAAGACCCTACTTGGCCCAAAACTATGGACATTTGTGTCGTGTCTACTCGCTGGCGCGGAAACATGCTCGAGAAAAAACGACCGTTCTGGGTCAAAGTGTTGCATTGGCGCCATGACTATTGGCATCAACAGATATTTACCTTACCTTACTCTACTTTACTCAACAAAATCACACAAGCCACAAGCCCTTCATGTTCAAACTCATCATCTCGTAATCCTTTGTTTCCAGCTATGAGCGGTTTCTTTGTCAGCGCACTTCAAAGTCAAGGAGGGCAGATAATCAACGCGTTCGTTCACGTCAATAAGAACAAATAGCGGTATGTCAATCAACAAGGTTGACGGTACAGGTTCCATGACTCGAGTTGATCTACATTGCCACACTCTATACAATGAGCACATCCACTTCAAAACGAAGATCACTTGGCCGGTGGGGAGAAACAAGTGGAAACAGGGACTTGTTGTCGGCCTCGGTCGCGCCTCCGCGACTCGATGCGCTGAAGAGAAGTGAGCTCTAGACTCTCAACCGACAAGCCTATCCTGTGATTCTCTATCAATAGAAGTCTTGGGGCAGTACATCTCGTAGAGCGTCTGTAGACGTAGCAACTGGAATAGACTTTCCAGTCACCCTCTCGCCTCCCGCCTCCCCCTCGTCTCGAGCGACATCGTAGTATCCTTGCGAAGCATAGTCCATCACTCCCAGATCCAGCCGTCCGACTCGACGTGATTGGCTCGACCCCGGGTTCTTTGCAGCCTGCGCATCGAATCGGGTAATTAGTGTAAAGACACAATGACTCGGCGAGTAGCTTAGAATCCCAGGTAATAGAGGGAGGGGATAAATCCGGGGAGCCGGAGTTGCCACTTCTCCAACTCCGGGGGGCACGGGAAGCTGTGGGTTCGTGGCCTCTGCTGGCCTGTGGCGTTGCTTGCTTCTCGAACTTTTCCAAAGTCTTGGCGTCCCTACGTAACGTGACGGATGCTGGAGCTGGAGTTGCTCTTCTACCGCGCGACAATTCAACTTACTTTCGAGGGCTTGCTCGTGAGCAGCCACTGGAAGGCTAGTTGACTCGCGTGTCGCCTTGAGCAACGGCAGAAATACGGCTTCTTGGCGACTGCTAACCCGCACTCACTTCAGGCCTCTGGCGATTCGGCCGCGATTGCCCAAGACCCTTTACTCGAGTTTGCTTTTATTTTGCCATGTTGAATCAAATTCACTGCCACGGCTGCCTCTCAGCTGCTGATCATGACTCCATGGTGTAGATACAAAGAGACTGCTCCATCACCAGCCATCACCACCTCGGAACAGAGGACAGTTTTTTTTGGGTCAAGTTCAGCGGAAATCGGGGAACTGCGAAGACGGATTGTAACTCATCACGAACCGAACCGAGAGTTCATGCGATCAACGGCTATGCGGCAGGGAGATGCTGCTCCAAGGGGGGAATACACCGAGTCAGTTCTTATCCAACTGATTTGAGGGGTGAATCGAGAGTGGGTGAAGCTCGGATGAGCCCCGTCTCATTCACAAGTGAGTTGAGATAAGCTTTTCGAGTCTGAACTTTATTAATCTTCCTTACGACACAATGTTGCGTAAACCAGGGGTGCTCATCTCCTATACCCCCCAGATCATATCTTACCCCATCCTTTTCGGTAGCTGAGCAGTAATCATATCACCCGGCGCTATGGCTCCTCAGGCAACTTTCTTGGCAACGGATCGTGGATGATGTTTCCCACACAAGCTGGAATTCCTAGGCGAGCGCCTGTGACAGAACTCTTCTTTCTCTCTGTGAAGGCCTAATGTCACGTACTTCTCAGAGATGGTGCAGTATTCGTGGTCTGGAGGGAACCAGTCTCGGATGTGTCTTTGCAGTTCACACCGCTCGAGTCCACACTTTTCGCAGCAGGAGGGTGGTCGCGGCTGTGGATGTGATATCGGGTGTTCATTTGCCAGCGTATTATCGTCCGTGAGGTCAGTCACAATCATCGCCTTTGTTGCGTCGATGGACTTGACGACTGACATGGCAGATGCCGGTCTCCATGCACACTGCTGGTCATTGGGCCCCGGACGTCTCGTGGCGAGCTGGACAGTGCCATGCCGTCGTCGGTGAAGGGCATAGAAGTAGCGGCTTGTCAACCCGAGACACGTACTGTCGATGGGGTCGAGAAAGTCGATAATGGTGTGGTGGAGTTCAGGTGGTAAGTCAGTGATTGTGAGCGTCTTCTGAGCTTCTACACGTCGGGTGATTTGCTTTCTCAAGTTCAGTTCTGCTGGTGAACGGAGTGAACCTGTTTCTTGCTGGTGTTGCAAGCAGACGCGAGATTTGCAGGTCGTGAGAGAAGGATGCCTGTTTTGTGTTGGACGAGCGGAGCGAGTGAGGCGTTGGAGCATCGGGTATGAGCATGATAATGAGATGAGTGGACGAACTTCGAGAAGTTCCATTTTGTCGTTTATGTCCATAGTGAGGTCTCGAATTTCCTTCAAGTTCCGTTTTTGAAGTATGTTTGCTTCGTGTATGGAGGTCTCCCGACATGAGATAGCCTCACGATACCGAGCACATAATTGGGGCAGGCATGTTATAGAGGGATTTTGTACTTCTCAGCCCAGAGATCGCAAGCAGGCTGTCACCTCTCACTACCTTACATGCATCCGACTGGACCATTCGGAGATGGCCATACCCCGCATCGTGAGCCTCTTCACCCGCGCAACAGGGCGAGCGCTACAAACGAGGCAACATCAGCACGACCCAATAACAGTCAGAACCACGAAGGGTAACATATCATCACATGTCGTGATCCTTGAGCCACTGAGCCACCTTGTGCCGACAAGAGGCAGATCGCCTGGAGGATGGAACATGAGAAAGGCTGAGGTCCTGCCTCGTGACTACCATCGAGAAAAAGCCTCATTTGTGATACGTGGAATGCGGCTGTATCCTCAAATGGGGTAATATGTCATACATGAGCCTATTTACCCCAGAATCGTAATGGGTGCGCCACCTCGGATGCATGGAAGACATGACGAACCTTGTCTCACCACACCGTACATGTTCACGATCGGTCTGAACCGGCACAGCCTCGGAGCCAAACGCCACACAGCCTTGGCAATGATCACCAAGTTACTCTCAACGCCACTGTCCGCTCCGTGGCTGGAGACAAGTCTAAATCTCAATTGGCATAGCTAGCCGTCCGCCTCATTTAAGTAATCAAATTACCAAAACACCAAAAAGCAAAAGAGTTCACCCCCCCGGTGGCGAATGGGGGCTACATCTCTGGTGCTCAAGCTGGGATTCGAACCTAGACCCTAGCGTAGGCTAAGCCAGTTGAACAGGCTCGCCCGTGACCATCCCGCCAAACGGCAGTTTGACCTGACCTCACAGGCCTGTGAGGCGCCTGCTACCGTTGGTGACAGGAATGGAACTGACGGGGTATATGAGGGCTTGCCATCAATCTTGGGGCAGGCAGGACGGGGGCGGGAGCAGTACGCTCCTTCTGTTGCTGGTCGTTGGTCGCTCCGTGAATCATCATGACGTACCTCGATAGTTCCATGCCTTCCTTATTCCACAGTCACGATGGTTCAGCTCACGCAAGGTCGATATAGCAGCAGGACTTGAGTCCTCGAACGCTAGGGAAAATGGAACCTTTTACACAAAGCAAGTGACTTGAAAAATTCTTCTTCAGTCAGCCATTTCATATCTGCAAAGGGTATCACCGCGTATGTATCACGCCAAAACCCAAGGGCTGCTTCCTCGCTGAGGAGACAGACACCACCTGGCCAAAAAAGAAGATATCCCGTCGTAGCCCAAACGCCTTCCACTCCAAAAGCCGACCAGGAAAACAAATCCGGGCAATTATTCCAAAGCTAGCCCTCCCCGTAGTAGAACACTTCATTCTTCCGCTTACGAAAATGATACCACACTCGGACACGGGCATCCAGCTTGATCTGGTGGCCAGGCTCAAACGAGACCTCTGCCCACGCGCGTCTGTTGGACGTCATGTAGCCAGGACACTCGGCCATGGCCTCCTCGGGTTCGTAGCAGTAGTACGTTATCTCCGAGGGCTCTGAGAAACGAACGGTGGGCTTGGTGATGGTGTGATTGCTCATGGTGACGTCCGTGTCTTTGTTGTTGCTCCTGGCAAGCTCTGCCTCCGCGTTCTCTGCGTGAACTCGATCCCTGTATGCCGCCATCTGTCCCCTGTGGTGAAATTTGCGAAAGTACTTCTTCACGAAGCCGATTTCGTCGTGCCAGGAGCCTTTGTCTGTGAAAGGGAAAGCGCAATTAGTCATCGGCTTTTGAATTCATGGCAGCGTAACAAAGTGAGGATGTACAAAGTGAATGAGGCGTGAACAAGAGAAAAAGCAGGGAAAGACAACTAAGGAATAAGGTAGGAAGCAACAAACAGAAGTAGCCAGGGGAATCACTGCCAAGGTACTTGTGATTCGGGTCGGTCGATTTGTTCTTGAGGCAAGACCGCTTCGGCTTAGGTGCAGAAGACGACGATGATACGCTGCCGCTGCCGCCGCTGCCCCATTTGAACTCGACCAGCTCCATCGTGGGATCCGTTGCGAGCTCCATTGGGGGCGCCGTCGTTACTTCAATGATGACGGGATTCATGTTTGTCTTTCAACTATCTGCCTTTTACCTCTGTGGAGGAGCAGAAGCTGCTGGAAGGGTTCAGCGATTCCAAAAGGCAAAAGCAAAAATGTCGGTAGGCCCGATAGCTGTACGATGCTGGAAGGGAAAAAAATGATGGACTCGCTATTTGCCGTGTTTGGCGATCAAGGTAGCAAAGCTGGCGCAAAAGGTGTTGTGCTGGGTGGGAAAGTAAATGGTGAGGTGCGGCGGGAGAAGTTGCGATAGCAAGTTGGGGAGTTGGTGGAGGGATGGAGGATGTGAAAGAAGGTGGGCCCAAAAGGTGAGGCTGAAGAGTCGCCGGGTGGTGAATTATTTTGAGAAGGTGAAGTTGAGAAATTTCCTGCCTTCCCGCTTTGTTGACAGTTGCTTGGTCGACGGAAGTTGCCCTCCTCTCACCCTGTGTAAGTCAAAGGCAGGTGCGATGGGGACTTGAGATGAATTTTGGATGATCGTGAATCCACAATGCATTTGATCCATGCTTTCAGCAGACTTGGATTAGATCTTCTCGATGCCAAGTCTAGCATCCTGTCCATCCTGAGTCCTGGCATCTTTTTTCTCATCACAATGATTGGGAGTCATTATATCGAAGATATTTTCTTGAGGGATGCGCATTTCTCCTTCAATTGTCTCTGTGGTAGGAACTTGGAAGGAGGAGTGTTCAGATTGAATACCAAGGTACCTTAGACTATTCCAAAAGATGGATATGTCGTGTATGCCACCTTATTCTCCTGTCTTTGACAGTGGCGTCGCATGTGAGCCTCCCAAATCCTCCGTCGCCTCTCACTGCAAGCCCAGTGCCTCATAATCGACAGTCGCAAGTACACCCTCGACCGTCCAGTCGTGTGAGTCAATTTCATCGGGCTTAGCCTGCTCGTCTTCCTTGCCTTGTTCATGTTCCTCAGCTTGCTCGTTGTCCTGGGGCCATCTATCAGCCTCGACTTGCTCATCAGCCTCGACTTGCACATCAGCCTTGGCTTGTTCATCTACAATGCAAGGTCTATCCAGGACAGGCATCTGAACAATCAAGTCAACAAGATACTTTGACTCCTCCTCCCTCTCCTCCCTCTCCTTCTCCTCTTTACTCTCGATGGTAGGCAGCAAGAGAGTCTTCCACATCTTCCTATCGTCCTCGGGGGTGAACACCCGTTGCTGGAAATAATCGCCGTGGTGGTTTTCCGTGGCAATCTTCCGCTTTTTATGACACTGCAGATACTCGTGTCGCTGTGCGAGATCCATGAGCTTCTCGTAATTGGGGTGTCTCTCTACCACGGGTTTCGGCTTCCATATGCCCCTGTTTGAGAGGAAAGCCCTGATGGCCATCCAGAGGTTAGATACCATGATGTAGATCTTGAGTAGCTTGAGGAAAAGGGGCGAAGGCTCTCGATCAGTATCCGTATCTGCGGTGGTATTCGCAGGGACAGGGGCAGAGGGGTCCAGGGCGAGGGGGCTACTGCTCGTCGACATAGTGGACACGCTTCTTTGTAGAGAATGTTTTGATCGTTATGAGCGAGTTGAGCAGTATCTCGATGGTGATGACGAGGCTGCAGAGGAAGGCGATATCCCAGATGACGGACATTGGCGGCGGATGAGGATGAACGACTATAGGATGGAAGGTGGTCGTTGCTGTTGAGCAAGTATTGTTGATTCTGTAACGAAGACTCGAAGAGGTGGAGACGGTGATGAATGGCTGTTGTTTTTCTGAAGATTGAAATGTTAGTTGCCATCCACAACAAATTCTCTCCCTCCCCAGTCTCTTCAGCCCGAAAATCCAAGCGAAGAACAGGTGATCACCTACAATTCTTTCTGCCGATCGATTCACGATGCCCAACTCTAGGAGAGAGTTGCGGCATCCGGCATTTTATACCAGTCTAGCCCTCTATTCGGAGATAGGTCGATGCTAGACCATCAGGGCATGGTACTTGACTTGTACGAACCTTGGTCTCGAAGATCCTTGTTGCCATCTCCGAATAAACACTAAAACAAAAGTCACGATGGCTACCAAGGTTGAACATGAAAGGGTATTGTAATTTTCTGCAAAACTTTAAAAACTTCATCATTAGACATAAAGAACCGTTTACATGCCAGAGTACGCGTTGAGCGCCAACTGGCCACCCAAGTGCGCATACAAGACATTGCTACCCGCAGCAATCTCCTCGTTCTTGATGAGCTGCATCATACCCGCCAAACTCTTACCCTCATACACGGGGTCCGTGATGAAACCCTCCGTGCTGGCGCCAAACTTGATGGCGTCAATGGTGACCTGGTCGGGAATACCGTAGACGCCGCCGTGGAACCGGTCATCCAGAATGATATCCGCCTCGGTGATATCGCCCTCCTCGAGGCCAATCTTGGCGCCCGTGTTCTTGGCGATGCGCAGCACCTGGTCAAACGTCTGCTTCACCGTCGCAGAGGCGTCAATGCCGATGACCTTGCGCTTCTTTCCGCCCAGCTTCTCCGCGAGCTTGAATCCCGCAACCATACCCGCCATGGTCGAGCCCGTCACCGCACACACGATAACCGTGTCGAAGAACACGCCCAGCTCCTTCTCCTGCGCCTGCACCTCGAAAGCCCAGCGCGCGAAGCCCAGGCCGCCGAGGGGGTGGTCTGATGCGCCGGCAGGGATGTAGTACGGCTTGCGTCCGGCGGCGAGGAGTTCTTCTTTCAGGTTGGCGAGGGTGTTCTTGTGCTCGATGCCAAAGGTGGAGGGGTCGAGGCGGACGTCGGCGCCCATGAGGCGCGAGAGCTGGAGGTTGCCGACCTTGTCGTAGACGGGGTCGGTCCAGTCAACCCACTTCTCCTGGACGAGGGCGGCTTTGAGGCCGAGCTTTGCGGCGACGGCGGTGACTTGGCGGGTGTGGTTTGATTGTACGCCGCCGATGGAGACGAGGGTGTCGCAGCCTTGGGCGAGGGCGTCTGAGGCGAGGTATCTGGCGTGTGTTAGTTTGGTTCTGGGTATACCTTGCCTTCATGGTGCAGTGAAGGAGGAGGAAGAGGAGGACTCACTCAAGCTTGCGGGTCTTGTTACCGCCGTAGGCAAGACCAGAGTTACAGTCCTCACGCTTGGCGTAGACGTTGACCTTACCGCCGAGGGCGGCGGAGATGCGGGGGAGGGGCTCGATGGGCGAGGGGCCAAAGAGGAAGTTCTCGCGAGGAATGCTCGCAAAAGGTTCGGGGAGGACTGCCGCCATCTTGGGTTCTTTGGTGTGTTGTTGAGTGATGTAAATAAGTCTACTTGGAAAGGGAGGGGTATCAAGTGGCGAAGAGAAGCAATACTGAGAGAGGAATACGATACAAGAGAGACATTGTGAAGGAACGCGAGGACAAGGCTCGTCTTTAATAACAGAGTCGATGGATATGTGATGTGACGAGGAGCGACGTCGGATGGGATGAGGCCAAGAGGCGGGCTTGACTCGGGTGGGCGCAACGCGGGCGGGTGGATAAGGGGGACGGTGCAGTGGTCCACCTGCTATCTGCAACGGGATCGCGGGGCAATTTGGCGATAAGAGATAATGATAGCGCTTGATTTGGGTGTACTTTACTTGGTTCGATTAAGACAAATGTTATCAAAATATTCTTGTTTGTGGTAAATAAGTCAGGGTAAACTTCGATGAGTTGCTCAAGTGAAGCTGGACTCAGTCTCACGATGAGTTTCTCACATCGCGGGAAGCTATCCACGAGCAGTGAGAAAGAAACGAGACGGAAGCTGCCCCTCCATCAATGGCGTTTAGGGGACCTCTTTCCCCTGCGATAAAGACGACTGCCCCGCGGCGGGGTCACTTCGAGGTCGCAGTGAGTGACAGGACATGAAAGAACCCCGCCATCAGTGGACGGAAAACTGCCGGGAAACTCGGGCAACGCGAATTCCGCGGAAAACTTCGCCAAACTTCGCCGGACGCACCGCAGTCGCTCATCCTTCATCTCTCCACGTACAATCTCTCTCACAGCACAGCAATCACACCATTTCCCGCTGGATAGGTTGGGCGTTCCGGAAAACTGCCCATTCAGTCTCTCACATACGACATTAGTAAAGTGAATGTGTATGCGCGGTCACGACTCCAGTCACTACAGTGGGAGACGACTCACTTCATGATGGCGATCTCATTTTGTTTCTCATATTTTACTTTTTTCATTCAGGTTTGCAGACCCATGTCTTCTGAGAATCTCTATGCGGGTTTTCGCCAGTCTCATGAAGTAATGCAACGTCCACGTCGTCGCACCTCACATGGTGCACCAAATATTTTCTCCCATCCTCACGAGCGCTCTAAATACAATTTTCCCAAAAAATGCTAACCAACCTCATCAGAACAAACTCTACTCCGCATCCAACGGCGCGCGCGGAGGCACGTTGTTCACCTGGATACCGCCCCTCTTCAACTCCTTGCTATCAGGGAACGGCAGAACCCACCCGCCCTCGCTCTCGGGCGTCGAGAGCCACAACCGCAACAAGTGCCGGCGCGGCGCCGGGTGGGGGTGGTCCGTATACGCCGTCCGCGCGTGGAGCAGGTGCGCGTTGCTCAGGAACTGGATGTCGCCCACCTCGAGAATCATGTGCAGCGCCAGCTTCTGGCAGGTATCCTCGAGCGTCTTGAGCGCGTGCAGCTGCTCCTCGCTCAGCGGCGGGATCACGCCCTTGTCGGAGAAGCGCGTCAGCGAGCGGACGTAGTACGGGTCCCATTTGCAGTAGACGCGGCGCTGACCGCCGTTCTCGATGTAGAAGACCGGCTGGCGCGTCCACTCCTCCTGGCCCTCGGAGACTTCGCCCTTGCGGTCAAAGTACCAGATGGGTTTGGTCAGGGTCTCGGCGACGTCCGGGTGGGAGCGCTGGAGCTCGTTCCAGACGGCGTGGATGCTGACGAGGTCGCTCTCGCCGCCCTCGGCGGAGCGCTGGACGCAGAGGAGGCCGACGAGGTCGCCGTCGTCGGCGTGGAAGAACTGGCGGGCGGTGGTGCGGTAGATGCGGACCTTGTCGATCTGGGTCGGGTCGTCGCCGACGTCCTTGACGTGGCCTAGGACGTGGCCGCGGCCGTTTTGGGAGACAAAGTAGCCGAGGTAGGTGCCGAGACCCATGTAGCCGACGGCGGTCTTGTGCGGGCCCCATTCGTTGGCGGGGAAGCCCTTGAAGAGGACGAAGCCTTTTCCGTCGATGAGGTCTTTGCGGAGGTCGGTGAGGCGCTTGCCTAGTGTTGGAAGGGGGAAGTTGGACTGTTGGTGGTTGTGTTAGTGCACAGTCGTCTGGGTACGGGTTGAAGTCGTTCGAGTGAATTTCTTCATCTCTCCTTCGAGGAACAAAGTCAGGCGTACCTTGGAGATACCCGTCAGAGGGGTGTTGCTGGCGATGAAGGCATCGGAGGTGCGGCCGAGCTCCTCAACCTCCTCAGGGGTGAAGCGGTGCGTCCACTTCTCGGGCTGCTGCTCAAACTCCTCCTTGTGCCAGACCGTCGGCCCTGAGATCTCCTTGGGGAACTCTGCGTAGGGCTTGAGGGCGTCGTAGAGGGGGTTGTGCTGTCCCGATGTGCGGATACCGTCGGGGAAGATGTTTCTGGGGGCATCGTCGTTCTTGCCCTTCCAGGGGCCCTGAGAGGGCTGGACGGGCTCGTCAATGAGCGCACCTGGGGCCATTGTGATGAAGATGCAAGGGGTATCAATTGAGAGAAATGAAAAGGTGTTAAGGTGAGGTATCTGGATGAGGTCTCAAAATGAGGGGAAGTGGCAGATGAGACGGACTTATATCACAAAGACTGAAATTGGAGAAGGGGAAAAAGGTTCTGCAACGGGGAGAGAGAGGTTTTATCTGATCTACCCCTCATTACACATCACTGATATCTGCTGTATAAGGTACTCACAATTGAACAGGCACAATGTAACAATGCTACAACCGTCTGGCCGGGTTAATGGTGTCGAGCTCTCATCAACAGATTGCGTGCTTGGGCCCCCCCATATCGCAATGGCCGTCCGATGACGCGAGACACTCCTGCTGTGGGGCCCGCCGATCGGGGGTTCAACTTCCATCAACATGGACGACAACGTGGGACCCCGCGCCCCAAAACCTCCGGTCCTTTGACTGCCGACCGCTTGGAACCGGGACGCATTGTGTCTGTTCAGTGTTACTATTCTCCAAAACAAACTTTTCTTGCTCCGCTGTCATACCCTTGCTCTTCTCTTTAACCGACATTTTCTCTCTCGATTGCGTGATTGTCTCTTCTCTGGAATTCTCTCTCAGAGAGTTGGACAATCAGGAGTCAGGTCTCAACACCCTCGGTTTCCGGCTGCTCCCGCAGGAACCGACAACGGCGGCGCGGTTCACTGGCTCTCAATCAACCCCCTCTTCCTCTCCTCCGCCAACCTGGTAGAGTTTCGGTAACTTTGACGGTGCGGCGCTGAAAGTTCCGACGACTTGGAGACGACCCCAACACACCATCTTCCGCTGGCCCCTGGTTCGAGTTGCGTTATCACACCCCGGCACGAATTACAACGGTTCGACGATCGAACCCCTGTCGATTCTTTCCTCCATCATGATGACACACGTGCTGGATCGCGCAGATTCTGAGAGATTTACAGATTGGATGTGCGGTCAATGAGCCGAATTCGCTGTTAAGAACAGTAAGCCATGCAAGCATTGGTGATCCTTGAGGCTTTGTCTAGAAGTCTATTCATCCTACTGCTAAGCGGTTATATCTAAGTGCCAAGGAGCACTATTGTAAACATGGCTTCCGGCAGTGTACATGTCACAACCTCTCGACTTACGTTTATCCAAGAATCAACCTCACACCCACCCGAAACCGGAGATGAGGAGGACATAGCTCGACCCATAATGAACCCATCTTCACAAGCCGCATCGTCCAGGCACGATACTCGATCACTCGCAACATCAAGACCCCCCAAGTTCTTGAACAATCATGACTAGCCCCCAAACTCATCAATGACGCTCCGCGGCTTCGTAAACGTCCCAAGAGGCACATACTCCAACCCATCCATTCCGAACCCCTTCGGCCCGCCAATCTCGATGCCCCGCGCCGTGGACGTCCACTTGTCTGACGCCGTGATGCCGAGAACCACCACGAGAAGCCCGTACCGGTACTCTTGCGTGCCGAGGGCCTCGCCGTTCTGCGCGTCGAGGACGCAGACTAGGTCTGGTACGATTGTGAGGATCTGTATGAGTGCGAGATGTGTCAGTTTCGTACTCTTCACTTTCCTCTCGTGATAGGGATGGGGAGTTGTCGGGACTCACATCTTGCTTCCCACTGGCATCAACCCTCTTTGCAAGAATATTCTCATTCTTGAACGGTATAACAAACTTCTCAACTCCATCGCCACCACTACCGCCGTCAGTATACCCCTCAATGATAACCTCTCCATAAGCGTGCCCCATCCTCGTAACCCTCTCGACGCCTACGATCTTGCCCCTAAACAGAACCCTCGCCGACTCCTTCCCGCCAACGACATCAGCAACAGCCTCGGCGACTGTGTCGATGGCATTGGTGCACCGCGCCATCGCTACGGCTCGACCAATCCTCCAGGAGAGCGATATGGTGTTCTCGACGACCCAGGACTTGGTATCGCGGCCGCTCACTGGCCCCTTTGCACAGCCTACATGGGAGCCCATCTGCGAGAGGGCGGCGCGGAAGGCGCGTTCTGCGTCGAGTTCTGTGCGGGCTTTTGTCATGAGCTGTCATTAGTTTACATATAAGTCAGCGCGGGCTTTCATTTTCTCCACACGTATCTTCCGGTAGGTTCAAAAGGGTGTTGGGTAGGATGAAGGGCGAGAAAGATAGTGTACCATGATTCTGCCGTTTCCATCTGATATACACGATGGAATCATCGTAGCTTTCTTCTCAAAGACTACAGGGGTCGTCTGGTGGGAGATGGGATACGCGCGGCCCATCCAGTCACCGTCGATTGTCGGAATATCGAGATTTGTACTGGCGCCGAGGATGAGGCCCTGCAGCCCGTTGCCACCTCCGATCTCGAGGGATATCACGGCCGTTGGCTCCGTTTTGAGGTATGCGTAGAGTTCTCTCTGCGACTCCATGATTCTGTAAACCGCAAGGATTAGAATCCGAATATTCCGTCTTTAGCGGATAGTTTCACTGAGGAAAGGGGGAGGACTCACTCATCACCATACGGCTTCTCGATAGATACTTGTGGCGACCCCTTCCCGCCGCCGCAGGCCACAACACCATCGTCCTTGAGGTCGTAAGGGGAGATGATCTTGACCGTGGCGCCTGCGCGCATCATTTCGCGGAGGCGGAGCATGTGTTGATAAGGTGAGCCACCGCCTCCTGTGCCGAGAATGTAGCAGCCTGTTGTGATCCAGTCAAGGTCTGTTTCGGAAATATGCCATTGGCGGTTGAGGATTTTTGGCTTGTAGCCGTCAATGTAGTCTTTTGTGTAGACCAAGGGTTGCGGTGATGGGATTTCCTCGCTTTGAGGCGGTGCCGGTGGTCTAGGTATTTCTTCGTCGTAGTTGTCGATGTCGTCTGGGATCGTGGTTGTGTCCAGGGATGCTGTTCTGGAAAAGTCGAAATCTCCTACGGCTTTGATGATGATTCGTGACTTGTTTGCAATGTACTGTCGAAGGAAACCTCCAGTCAGCCGAAGCGTACCTCTGATGAGGTACTCGTCGTGTCATAAAAAACATACCTGCAAAGGGAAACTCTCTACCTCAGCAATAGTTACACTCTCCCGCAAAGCCCCATTCTCAACAGCCCGATCAACAGCCCTCCGCGACAGAGCCTCCACAACCTCGGACACGCTCTTCATCTCAGTGCTCTCAATCGAGTCAACAACACCACTAACCCTCGCCGTCGCAGCCCCAATTGCATTCGCAACCTCAGACCACGCAGGCTTGACAACCCTGCTCGCCCCCTTCAACTCATCCGGCGCAATAACCGCGCCTCCGCCGACAAGAACGACGGGTATATCCTCGGGCGAAGTCTTCATCGTGTCTACAATCCGCTCCAGCATCGTCTTCACCTTGGCCTTGAATGCTGGTACGTCATCAGCGAGGCCGCTTGTACCTTCGACGAGAGACCGGTCTCCGATATCAACGGTGTCTGGATCTGCGAGTACAGTATAATCCGTAGCCGTCGCGACATCGCCGCCGAAAACGAGAGCCCTGGTCTGAATTTGATATCCCACGCTCTGTGGCCCAATCACCATCCCGCCGGTGCGCTCGTCTTTCTTGACGATAGATCCGCCTCCGAGCCCGATGCTCTTGACATCTGGGTAGGAAAAGTTCGTCCGTACTCCGGCGATCTCGCTGTACGCCGCCGCCTGTCTGGGGAACCCGTTGGCCAGTAATAATCCCACGTCCGTCGTTGTCCCGCCGATATCGACTACCATCATCGGGCCCGCCCCCTCCTTCTCTTCCTCCAAGTTCCTCGTGAGGAACGCCGCACCGCGCATGCTATTCGTCGGTCCGCTGGAGAATGTCCTGATGGGCAACCGCGCCGCCGCCGCAGCCGGCAGAATCGTCCCGTCGTTCTGCGTCACGAAGACGGGACATCTCAACCCTAGCTGTGTAACGGCATCCTGGAAGGAGCGAATGGTTCGTCTGGCGAAAGGAAGGATGGAAGCGTTGAGGATAGCCGCGTTCTCACGCTCAAGAAACCCGATATTCGCCACATCCTTTGACATCACCACGTCAGCTCCGGGGTAAATATCATGAATAATCTCCGCCGCCCTCTCCTCCTGTCTATACACGACGTCAATGGGACTGAAAATCCCCACAGCGACGATACTTCTGATTCCCTTGGCGCGAATAACCTCTACCTCGCGCCGCACAGCGTCTTCATCGAGCTCCGCAATCAAGTCCCCGTCAATCTCCAACCCGCCGTCGACGAGAGAGCGGTGGGCGCAGATGATTCTGCGCAAGGCGGGAGGCCAGTCGACGCCGGCGGGGATGGTTGCGGAGAAAGGACCACAAAGGCGGATGACGGCGACGGGGGCGAGGCGGGTTGCGTCTTGTTCTATCACGGCGTTGATGAAGTGCGTTGTGCCGATTGTGACGCTTGCGATGCGGGAGGGGGGGATGTTGGAGGTTGAGAACATGTGGGAGATTGCGGTTGTGATTCCGGTGCTTGGGTTGGGTGTTGTTGGGGTCTTTTGGGTGGCGAGGATGCCGAGGGAAGGGGAGGAGGAGGTTGGATCGAGGATGACGCCATCTGTGTTTGTTCTGTTTGTTTTTGTTAGAAGTGAGTTGATGGTTGGGAGGTGGGAGTTTGGGGTTGGTGATGTGGAGTTTGTCAACGCAGAGGTGAGGTAAGGCGAGGTGAGAGGTGCGTTACTCACCCGCCGACGTCGACGCCTATCCTCAAGGTAGGGACTGTCATTTTTGTGGATGAGCTGGTGTTGTTGGAATTGTTTCCCTAACGCTTGTAGGTTCGGATAAATTGCATTGCATGCAAAGATAACTGTCTATAGGGAGGGTGGTACGAGGTCCTGCCGTGAGGGCGTTTGCGATAATGATAGCAGGTGAGATGCAAGTCATACAACTGAAGTATCGCACCTTCTCCGACGCGGTGCCGGCATCGGGGTAGAGGCCGATATTTCAACCCCGGATTCCGAGATAGTGAACCCCACTTCACCAACGCCAATCCTATCAAGTACCACTGCGAAGGACTACTAGGTAGGGGAAGCTAAGGCACTTACACAATTGAACATTTCCACCCCTTAGTTCAACACTGTCATTGGATTGGAACACTCACTCGCAGACGAGCGAGTCCGAGGCGATCGACCACCATTTCTTATCACCCGGCATGTCACTAACGGGGAACGCCCCACTGCTCCGCATCCTTATCATCGGCATCGAGGACCAGGTTGGCCGGGAGGAGTGGGTTACATCAAGGACGTTTTGGGAGCTGACAAGCTCGCGGGCACGTCGTCCGACGCTCGGAAAGTCGCCGACGTATTTTCTCTTTTCAGAAATAAAGAGGGCAAGGAAATGGGGGCAAACTCAGACTTGCCCCGGAAAACTGCCCCCGAACCTTGCCCGGCATGCAAGTCAGACAAGGTCGCGATTAGCAGTGCATATCTCCCGCCAACCTATACGCTTTGCTCTCTTACAGAATCAAGAATGATGGGAGAGGCTTTGGTCGCTGCAAGGGTCTCGAGATAAGATGGTCCTATATATCCGTTAGCTCACGCCCTCCACGGGCTCGAAAAGAAGCATTCCCGAACAGTGCAAACGGAGAGACAAACGTGAAAGTTTGCAGCGCTTAATTTGTCGCGGCAACAAGGGCGAACAAGACGGCGCGCAGAATCAAAGAGGTCCTGACCCTCAAGTCGGACGAGTCCCGCCACGAAGAAGTCAGCGCCTGGTCGAACCGCGATCTCATCCCCTTGCCGCCCTCCCGCCGCACCTGGGGCTGGTTCAACTTTTTCGGCTCCTGGTCGTTGTAAGTTTGACTCTTCATCTTTTGAGCGAAACTCGTCAGCCCTTGCCGGAATGCTGAACCTCTACTCTGTCCAACAGATCGTCTCTCAATGTCGCAACATGGCAGACTCCCAATACGTTTCTTACCCAGGGACTCTCAGTCGGTCAGGCCATGGCCGTCATCGTCGTCTCGCGTGCCCTCTGCTGCTTCTTCGCCATTCTAGTGGCCTGGTGCGGTCTGACCTGGCACATTGGCTTCACCGTCCAGAACAGATACACATGGGGCTTCCGAGCAAGTTTCATCCCGCTGCTACAGCGCATTCTCCTCAACTTTATCTGGACCGCTCTCCAGTGTAAGCGTATCTCTAGTCTTTCCAAGACGCCATCCCCCTTCTACATACACAAGATGACTGATCCGGGTTTAAATAGGTTGGAATGGAGGTAAACTAGTAACGTACGATTAGCATTCCCTCCTTAAATGAAGCCTCAAAGACTAACCTATACACCTCTCGTAGCGTCTGCATAACCGCAATCTGGCCCTCCTTCGCAAAGATCCCCAACACCCTCAACTCAAACACCCCAACAACAACCTACGAACTCCTAGGCTTCACCGTCTTCTGGATCGTCTCCATCCCCTTCCTCTTCATCCGTCCCGAGCGCTTCAAGAAACCTTTCTTTGTCTCCTCCGTCGCCTGCGGCGCCGCCATGGTCGCCCTCCTCGCCTGGTCCGTAGCCGTCGCGCGAGGGGTCGGTCCCGTCTTCTATCAAGGCGAGAAAGTGCCCGCTTCGTCCCGGTGGAGCGCCTCGTGGTTGATGATGGCGGGGATTAACCAGGCTATCGGCGGGAAAGCGGCGGGCATGACAAATAGTAGTGACTTTTCGCGGTACGCGAAGAATAAGAGGGATTATATCGTTGGTACGGTGTCAGTGTATTGGGTTACTGGCGTGCTGGTGTGTCTGGGCGGGTTGGTAACCACCGCGGCGTGTCAGAAAATTTACGGGCAGATTTACTGGAACCCGCCCGATTTGTTGATGGTCATGATGGATCGTGAGTCTTCTTCTGGTCAATTGCCACTCTCCTTTCTCTCCGAGTTTCCTGGATGCCCACTGACATGCCATCCATCTATAGACGGCCAAGGCTCCCCCGGCTCCCGCGCCGCAGTCTTCTTCCTCGCCCTCGCCTTCGCCTTCACCTCCATGTTCGAAAACGTCTGCTCCAACGCCGTGGCGGGCGGCATCGACCTCGCCGGCCTCTTCCCGCGCTACCTCGACATCCGCCGCGGCGCCCTCCTCACCTTCGCCGCCGCCTGGATCATCCAGCCCTGGCAGCTCATCAACCAGGCCGCTACCTTCGTCGCCGTCCTCAACTCATTTGCCGTCTTCCTCGCGCCCATCATGGGCGTCATGGTCTGCGACTATTTCGTCCTGCGCTGTCGGCGTGTCCGGCTGACGCATCTGTTCAACCCGAAGGGATCAGACTATTGGTACCAGCACGGCGTCAACTGGAGGGTGATCCCGTGCTGGGTTGCGGGTTGGGCGCCGACGGTGGGCGGGTTGGTTGTGAGTGCCGGGGGTGTGGGCGGTGCGCCGGACGCGGTGTACGAGCTGTATTATGTTGCGTTTTTTATCGGGTTTATGATTTCGTTTGCTCTGTTTTGGGGAGTGAATGGCTTGTTTCCTGTTGAAGGTCTTGGGGAGTACGATGAGGTCGATGTGTATGGCACGTTTACGGCGAGTGAGGCGGCCAAGTTGGGGGTTACCCCTTGCGAAGAGGAGGCTGCTGTGTCTGGATTTGGCAAGGAAGAGGGCATCGTGACTCTTGCGGGAGAGATTTCGGAGGATGCTTGTGGTGAAGAAAGACGATGGTGGAATCTGAGACGCCGCTGAGCAGACGATAGATCTGTCGTTCATCGACGCGGTCTCTCGACTATGTAGGTGGAGGCATCATCTCAAAATGACCTACACGATGGTTGCATTGACGTTTCCTGACCTGTTAATATATATTCATTAAGGCCACGAAACTGCACTCTTGTCGTAAGAGGTTTGAATTATACGTTTGCAATAAGCAGTGAGTCATGCAGGCCAAAGGAGAGGGCGACGGTCTTCATACCTGACATGATCGAGGGCCTTCTCCGAAAAGGCACCTCAACGTGGGATTCACCTGCGATGTTGAGTATCAGATGAAGAAACAACGGCGGATGGATCGCAGCCCTGAGAACGAGATGGAGGAATTCTGACTTTTCAAGCCTGCATAGCCTTCTGAGCCTCCTGAATTTCACGCGCCTCCCGAACCTCATGTTCCCGGACAGCCTCTTCTTTTCCTGGCATGGGATCTGGAACAATTTCCCCATCGTCATCGTAGTACCAATCGGGGGCATAGATGACCGGGTCAGCCCTGCCAGACAAGGCCTGCATGCGGAAAACGTCGAACTGCAATTTCAGAATATCGAAATCGGGGGCTTTGGCGTCTGTGGTATCGAAGATGTCGACGATCTGGCCATCGTCGACTGGTCGGGCATCCTTGTCGTGAACAACGTAGTCGTCGTCCCACCCTCTCCAAGTCCGCCATAACTCAGCCAGGTTCGTTGGAATATTGTCCGGCGTCAAGCCCATCGTCCTTTGTAGCCAGTGGAGTTGAACTCGAATACCGATCGCCTTCCTTGCGCGCTCACCGTCTTCCTTGGTAGGCTTGATTCCCTGCGGCAGCTCCACCCCCCTCTCCTTGCCCTTGCCCTTGCCCTCGCTGGTTCTCTTGGACTTATTGGAAGGCGTGATCTGGGAACCATCGCTGAGTACACTGGTACCAGATCTCGTAGACCTTGAGGAATCCGGCGCTCCGCTCTTCTCGTCGGGTCTCTCGCTAGCGACCCTTGAAAGAGTCGAGGGACCCGCAATGACAGGTTCTTCTTTCTTGTCCTCTTCGTACAAGAGAGTGACGGGCTCCAAACCAACAAGTCCACGGTCCCAATACTTGTGCAGCATGGGGTGCAACGTGATCATGTTTCTGGAGGTGTCGACAATGTTGGTCTCAGGATCGACGAGCTTAGCCTTAAGCATTTGAATTCGTGCAAGGCCGTACACCGCAACAGCAGCATCAAGCGCATCGCAACAGCGCGGTCGGTTAAGAGTCCAGAATGGGAGAATATGACACTTCTCGCCTTGTGTGTAGCCCGTAAAAGCACATCTCCCGACATCTCTCTGGGCAGTCTGGCGCGGAAGAGTTAGTCTGGTGTAGATTTATCAAAAACAGGTGACTTACCGCGATTCTCTCAGCATTGCTTCGTGAAATACTACCGGTTTTGATCCATTCTTCCTTCGGACCCCGAACTGATGATAAAGAAGTTAGCCTGTGCGTGCGAAATATAAGAAGACTATTGCTGGCGTTCACATCACATGAATATCATCGAATGAAAAAGCTCAGAACAGGAAAGTTCAGAACAAAAAAGTTGAGAACAGAAAAGTTGAGAACAGAAAAGTTGAGAACAGAAAAGTTGAGAACAGAAAAGTTGAGAACAAATAAGTTGAGACGAGAAAAAGTCTGATGATTGGAAGGGTAGGGATCAGATGAGACTGATACTTACACAGCAAGATGAGGGCATCCATCTCTTTGAATGAACGGTTGAGAGTGTAGACCAGGTTGTCGCTGCCGGCGCCTTGCACCTCCGCTAAAAAGCTTCGGAGACGCGGCAAGCTCAGGACGAAAAGGTGTGCCCAGACTTCTTTCTTCTGGAGGAACTCGATTTTGTAGCGCTCCCTCTTGATGCTCTCATGGTTAAGGATTGTATTTCGGATCTGGTGTACAAGCTCGAATCGCTCGGTGAGATCCTCCTCTCTATTATCGCCGAGCCAGCTGTTGTTGCTGCGTAAGGCCATGCTTCGTCTGACGGTCGAAGCGAAGGACTTTTCCCAAGTCCGGCAGTCTCAGTAGGTAGGCCTGAGTTCTGGGTCGTCTCGATGGAAGCAATCTGTCAAGAGACCTATGAGCTTCTCAAGTTCCGCGTCGAAGTCCACCTCGGGGATAGGGCGCGACATGTTGGGATCTAGGTGGTGGTAGGTGCGACTATTATACCTGCCTGTGTTAGTTTTGGAGAAAGATCACGTGGCCGGAGATAGACTTGCCTGACCAAGATCTCAATCCAGTGCTACAGATGAATCCAAAGTGCCACACAAAGTAAACTGTTCGGGCGAAAACTCAAAAGTGAAGATGACAGAAATGTTGGATGAAGAGGGAGGTATTGGTAGAAGGATGACGAGGTCTCGTGAGAAATTGAGAGTGGAATCAGAAGATCGAATTCCCTACTGAAAGTTAGCTATTAATACCTTGGCTGCTTGTTGCCTCTTCACCTAAAATCGAAGGGCGGAAGGCACCTTCCCCCACGAGAATGCGTATCGGCCTTTCTGGAGGTTTCTTCCAAGGCTCCGCCTCTTGCTCTTTCTTGTGAGGAGGTCCGTCTCTTTTCTTTTTTTCCCACCTGGCTGTAATTGAAAGTCAAACCAATTGATATGCACAATTTATTTTGCCTTAGGAGCGTTTGCTGCCTTTCATAGTGCACGATAGCTCCTGACAAAGCAAAGGGTACTATGCGGAAGGTAGGTACTAAGGTATGCTTTCACGCGAATGTCCCATTTCAGCCAAGTCACCTTTACCTAGACCTTTGGCAGACGATTATCCAAAGTAGGTACTTACTTACCTTAAGTTCATCGGCTTATCTCTTTTCTTTCTAAATCATCCAAGGACCTTAAGGTACCTGATCCAAAAGACCTTTAGCAGATGAATTAGACTTCTTAGGGTTTATTCATCAAAGAATACACAGAGAGTAGATCACATTGACAACAGAAATAGCAACAAGAGAAACAACACCAAGAGAAACAACACCAAGAGAAACAACATCAAGAGAAACAACACCAAGAGTGTTGACACCGAGGGTGACAATGTAAGTGGAAGCAGTAAGAGAACCTTCCATGGAATAGGTACCTTCAGGTACCTATGGCAAGTACCTACCGGTACCTTAGGTAAGTTGAGTGTCGCCCGTTTGCCTAGATACCTGGGTACACATCAAACTGCTGAGGCCCCGCCTTTCTCCCGCCTTCCATCTCCTCCAGCACCTCGGGGTACCTAGGTACCTTGCATGGTTACCTTACGTCGCCCCAGGGTAGGTACTCAGTACCTTACCTTGAGGGGTTCCTACCCTACCTTATCAGGCACCTAGGTACGTTCCCGACGGCTCAGCGCTACCCACTTTAGGCACTAGTCTTTCTAAACTCACCTCCGTTTGACGCGCATTAAGCATCGTGCCATTGAATCAACCACAACCTTGCCATGCCCACGACGTCGGTGCAGTTGCCGCCGCGTAAACGGCGCAAAACGCAGCTTGCCTGCAACCCATGCCGCGCTCGTAAGTCTGGATGCGATGGAGCGCGCCCGGTGTGTTCTTCTTGTACATCCAAAGGTTGGCAGCAACGGTGCACATATCAAGAATCCGTCTTGCATGCGTCATCGACACCGTACGTGCCGTGGGTTTTCTGGTCCTTCATCCCTAGTCCCAAATGGACATCACCTTGCTGGCAAATGAAGTTTGCTGATCAATCGTGGCAGATCAATTTCCCAACTGTCAAAGAGGCTGGAGCGTTTGGAAGAGCTTCCCGCAGCTCAAGCTCGTGACGGACTGCCGCATCCCGATCCCCGTCCAGAAACAGACATTTCGGGAGGAGCTCATGATGTCTTTCCCCTGACTACCAACGGATTAACCACTCCTATTGGCAACATCACTCCCCAGCCGCCCGCTCAGCTCTCAGCGACAAACGCCCTTCAATCTGCTTCACCATTGTCTCGCAACGAAGCCGATGGCGATGCCATGTACGGTCCTTCATCCAACAGCTCATTTCTACGACTGGTGACAGAAGCCGCGGGCCCCAGAAGCTCAAACACGAAGAGTCCAGAGGAGCTGGCTGGACAGGATGCAGTGGAAGCCACCCCTACAGTACTCGGATTCGCGATAACAACGCAGCCCAAGAGTCCTGATATCCTACCGGACCCCGTAATGCTTCCCGAGAGGTGGCTCGCCGATAATCTCTTCCGCTGCTTCTGGGATTTTGTCCACCCGGTGTTTCCCATACTCCACCGGCCTTCGTTTACCGCATCGTACGAAGCGGTGTGGCAGCCATCTCAAGGCCGACCTCCTAATCGAGATTACAAGGACATCGTTTTCCATGCCACCTTGAGCATCGTGCTGGCTCTGGGGTGTCAGCGGACAGATCAGGTCTCGGTAACGGAACAAGTCCGCCTAGCCAACAGGTTCTATAAGCAATCTTGCAAGCTCGTGTCAGTTGATACGCTCGATCACTCCTCTCTACAAATCGTCCAGCTATTGCTGCTGAGGGGCGTTTACCTACACTACACGCAGTACGCGGACCGATGTTGGAACACAGTCGGAGTCGCACTGCGAGTTGCGCAGGGTCTCGGATTGCACTCGCGCGGTGATGGATCAATGTCCTCAAACAGCCAGCTCAAGAGGGAGATGAGGCGACGTGTCTGGCACTGTTGCTTAACTTTAGACAGGTAGGCAGAAGGTTTTCCACCAGCACCCGTGGCACCCGTGTCGCTGCCTTCGCTTGCTCGGATCCAGATGATTGCCACCCAGCTAACGTCAACGCTTCCAAGACTCACGGCAACCACCTTTGGGAGACCTGTCCTTGTGTCTCGGCAGTACTCCGTCCCTCCACCGGAACCTATCGACGATGAGTATTTGTCTGAGAGTTCCGAAGGCCTACAGCCGTCGGATCGCCCCTCTTACCTGGCCTTTTTTGTACACTCCGTTGCGCTGTTTGATGTATTGAATGAGATACTAGCCAGATTCTACACCGAAGGCGAATCCGTATCGGACAAGACACCCGATTCACTCAGTCATGTTTTACAGCTCTCGTCAAAGCTCGATGAGTTGGGTCACTCATTCCCGCCGTACCTCAGGGAAGGCGCAGATTTGACACAGCTAGACGAAGAGCTGCGAGGGTGTCTGCAAATGCAGGCAAACATCCTCAAGTCCAGGTAAGGCGGCTTTTTCTCAAGCTTCTTCCTCCTTTCCTCCCTTGGAGAAAGTCTGACTTATGACGGCATCAACCAGAGTCTTATGGATACGGCTTCTCCTCCTTCGTCCGCTCCTCTTGGCCGAGGCCAAGCACGGCAGCCGACCCGAAAAGCCATTCGCAACGGACGCCACACATACACTCCGAGATAGCCTAGGGCACTCGGCCAACTTGCTCTGCGTTTCGACGGCTCACAGCGTACTCCAGGAGCTTCACGAAAAGCTGGGCAGCGTCAGGCAGAACTCGGCCTGGCATGTTCTACTCTGTACGCAAGGTTTTTTTCTTCGTCCCCTTTTTCGTCCTTGCTTCTTGCCTTTTGCCCCTCCAACTTTTGGTTCAGGCTGGGCGGCTCTAGCTAACTCTTTGTTTACTCTATCATCACAGTCACATTTGCCGCAGCTTCCACCCTGGTAGTCGCTACCCTGTGCCCCGATTTCCACGTCAGCTTCGAAACAGAGCCGACAAAATCCTCGTGGAACCGAGCCTTGCGCATCTTTGACTTTCACAAGCAGCACGTCGCGTCCGCCAGCCGAGGCATCGAAGTATTGGAAAAGTTTCGCGCATCTGTCATGGCTGCCGCTTCGCAGCGAGACGCTCCCGGCGGGGCGCCCGCCACTAATGGTAAGAGAAAAATATACAAAGAGAGCAAGAAAGGGGGTTGGCTTCCCTTATTCATGAATGGAAATTGGTAGACCGAATAGGAGAGAAGCTAACCATTCTTTTGGCGCTCTTCCATAGTAGAACCATATGATGCGCGACTTGGGCAAGGGAGCGAGCAGGACGTCTTGCTCCCGTTTGGCTCTGTGCCTGGTACGAATCAGACGTCCCTAGCGCAGGACTTTGGGGATTTCTCAGGCTCTGATTTGCTCAATGAAAGCTGGTTCAACATTCAGGGGATAGATCTGGCCAACTGGGGAATTTTTCAATAAACGCAGCGATCATAAATGACAAGGGCATCAATCTATTCCAATAAGCCATCCTTGTCATCCAGCTTCTGCATCCTATAGTGTACGACATTGCTACATAGGACGACGGTCCTCTTTTGCTGGAAGAATATAGACCCAATATGATTGAGATACAAGTCCACTCAGATCATGGGTCCCAACCAGGCATGGGAGAGTCCCAGTTCCCAATTGACGGGCACATTCGACTGGAAATTGCTGAGGAGCGATTGAGATTCCTCGCCTCAGAGATCATCTTGGTGGGGCAGACATGGAAGCCAACGGGAATGCTGAGTTCTCAGAGTGGAACAAACCAAATCTTCAGTATGGGCTATCCAAGCTACGAATACAATACTAACAGAACTCCCTCTCAAGACACAGGAGCCTCAGAGTCATGGAACTCGCCCAGCTTGAGCAGCTTCTTCGCATTATCACGCCCAATCTTGCGATAATTCTCAACGCCGCCCACCGCCTCCTTCACCTCCTCAGCCTGGCCGTCCCACCAAGCAGAGCACATCTCAATCGTCTCGTACGGATAATCCACCGAGAACAGCACGCGGTCGGCCCCGATCTCGTCCACCACGTACTTCAAAGCGCGCGTGGAAAAGTTGCCCGACGTGGTGACGTAGATGTTCTCCCTAAAGTAGTCGTACACGGTCCTCTTGCACATGCGGTCCGCGTTGCCCTCCGCCGCGGCGATCGGCTTCTTGACGTCCTCGAACCAGTGGTTGATGCGCCACAGGTCGATGGGGAGGTGCTCGCCCAGGTGGCCGACGATGACCTGCAGCTTCGGGAAACGGTCAAAGACGCCGTTGGAGATGAGGCCCATGAGGTGGAGGTTCACGCCGTTGGCGAAGGACAGGGGCGGGCCGATGAGGTACTTCCGCTGCGCGTAGAGCTTCTCGAGGACGACGTCGGCGGGGGCGGCCGGGTGGATGTACACGGGCACGTCGAGCGCGCAGACGACCTCCCAGAAGGCGTCGTACTCAGGCTGGTCGTAGAACTTGTACGTCTCGCCGTTGGGGCCGGCGTGCTGGAAGTCGCAGAGCAGGGCGCCGTGGAAGCCGAGGTCGGTCACGCAGCGGCGGAGCTCGCGGCCTGCCTGGGCGGGGTCGTGCATCGAGAGGCAGGCGAAGGCGCCGAGCTTGGAGGGGTTGTGCTTGATTTGGTCGTGGGCCCAGTTGTTCACTTCGGTGGCGCGGCGCTCGGCGGCGGCTTGGTCGGCGATGCCTTGGATGCCGGGGACGGTGAGGGAGACGATGGTGTAGCCGATGCCGTGGGCGTCGGCGAGCTTGACGCGCTCCGAGTTGAGGTCGCTGATTTGGCGCATGTAACGGGCGCGGTCGGAGGGGTTGATGTAGAGGGAGGCTTCGTACTCTGACTTGGCTTCCATGCCTGTCATTTCGTAGGCTTCTTCGAGGGCGATCTTGCCGAGCATTTTGATGGTTGGTGGTGGTGGTGTTGGGTGAAGTGTGGTGAGATTTAGAGAATGAGGGTAATCGAGCTATTGTAGGATGTATCTGAATATGATGCTTGTGTTCTGGTGAGCCAGAAAGAGAATCTCTTGGATGGGAGCATCGTCGACCGGTTCTTATACGGCATCGAACCTCTCATTCCTCACCTCTTGAAGACTCACTAATCACAATGGTAACTCACTGCGAGGCGACACTCGCTCATCCCGAGAACTCCGGCCAACATGACGTCTGAGAAACCCCATCGCACATTCCGAATCCGAAATCGAGACTCTGGAGGAGATAACGCAGTCGCTGAATCATGTCCGTGGTCTGATGGCAGCATCTCCAGTTTTGCAGCGACATCCAATGTCCGCCAAGAGATCTCCCGCCGTTCCCCAGATCGCGTTCCGATATCCAATGGGAAGTGCGCGTTATCTCCGCGATGACTCCACCGGGGAGGTGGTGCGCTTCCGACGTCTGGCGTCATAGCGGAGGCTCCGATATGGGTCCTAACCGGCCCCGGAAGACTTTGAATGTCTACCTAGGTCTGAGGACACGGGAGAGACTAAGTCCGTCCCATGCATCGGGTAATGGCAAATGTGCCCGCTTCACGGCATGGACTTAGTCACCTTGCTCCGGCGGAAATGCTGGGCCCCTCCCGAGCTTCTGTGCCTGAATCTACTTAGCTTGCTACGTCAGACTAATCTCACGCATCAAATGTTTGAGAAATGAGAACCGAATCTCTCAGTTGCTCGGGTAGTCTCACATGGACCAAATCTCTATTCTGAGCCAAAGATGAACTTGATCCGATTTTGACTCTTATCAAATAGTCGCGCATGAAGCACAAAGGCTGAAGCCGTTGGACAGTTAACACGAATCTTCGTAGCACATCACAACCAGGTGATTAAATCATCACACAGACTCGGTACCAAAATGTATCAACTGTTTCAAAACTTCATCTAGTCGTCTTATTGTCTTCGAGCTTCCAAAGCGCCGGGGAAATTGTGCAGAAGTCCATGCCAACGTGAAGCATCAGCAGGCGCCTGGAGATGGTCTTGAAACGCCGATGGCGATATTTTTGAGAGAATCAATTCATTTATCGAAAAGTGGCTGAGTGAAAGCTATCGCTCCAATCAAAGAAGAATCCGGCTCGATGTACGAAAGTATGGCTTTCCATTGAGGTGTTTTAAGGGAACTAAACCCAAATTGACAACTGACGCCTGCTACTCACTTTTGACTTCACAATTTAATCACCATTAATGCGTGAATTTACGCGAATACTTGGCTTCTTGGATAACTTCTGCCAGCAGTCATTAAACCGCGCTCTTGTACTTCGCAGGCGATAACAATCGAAGAACAATGGGATACGGTTACATCCATTGAAGTACCCCTCTAGGGTAGCGCAGGTACTTGTCATGCATGAGGTTTGCTGACGCGCGCACGCGTCAAGGGCTAAGGTGTAAGCTGCAGAAGCCCACCTACCATGTACACGCAACACTCTCCTCCAAGACACCGCTCTCAACGAATCAGCCTCGGACTTGGAAAGAGGGGTTTTTTTGTGGTACAAGGTCGCACATTGGGCATGAGCATTCGATTTAGACACGGGGGTTGCATGTTAGGCAACAATTTGGACGAGTCTCTGCTGCCTGCAGTTTCTTTCAAGATTGGGCGTTGTGTGTGTGTGTGTGTGTGTAATTGTTCTCTGCGGTGGGCTTCGAACCTCATTGAAGTCAAAGTCCGGCGAGCTCTTAGTCGGCGTACAGGGGCGTTGGTTATAGGGTCAGTTATCACCCATCCAGTTTCTCCTTTCCTCTCCTGGTTTCTATTGCGCGTGTTTAGGAGATGGTTCTGAGGTACTGCAGTGAGGAAATGAAAGGCCACGAGAACGGTGCATGTCCGCAGTCCTGCATTTTCAAATGTTAGTTCTCTGGATTTTTAATGGTTTTTTACGTCGGCGGATGCTGCTTGACGTGAACAAAGAGCGAGGCCATCTTCACACCCCCGCTGCCTTTATATGATTTTCATCGTCCCAGATCGTGATATCCTCGATTGACGGGCACATTCTCTCCTGCGTCTGACATCAATCTTTTATGCCCCAAAGCACCAAGATCCGACCTCCCGGCTCTTGAGTTTTAACCCCCAGTGGTTACTATACCCGTTCTGGCCTCTTGTCTTTTCTCTTTTCTTCTTTAGGTGAGTGATGGATGAGCGGTAAATAATCTTAGAGCTTATCGATAATCTTCATACTGCCATCCTCGAAGCACTTGACTCTCGGTTTGGGGCTGATGTCGTGGTAGCCCTGGAAGCGGCAGTAGCTGTGGTTGCAGTCCTTGAGCCATCTGCAGTGGTGGCCGAGTGTGCAGTTTACGTCGTCGCATTCGGAACCCAAGCTACAGGGGATACCGCGAGACTTTTTATGTTAACACAAATTAGCCGAATGCCCAAGATTGAAGAAATACTACCCCATAATGATCACCAAGCGGAGGTATTTACTCACCTTTTGCTTCAATAGTACCATTTCGCTGGCGCTGAGCTTATCGCCGTGAATGTAGGAACAGACTGGATTCTTGCACTCCCCGTGTAGGTGGTAATTGTTGCAAAACTTCTTGCCCGTCTCCGTCATGCGCGCGTTGAACCTCTTCTCTACCATGGGGTCAACCTTCGGTAGCGGCTCGTCGATGCGCTGGCTGTCGGCGTTCATCAGGTAGTATTTCGGCTGCGGCGCCTTCTTTGTGGTAAAGATGTCGATGGGCTTGGGGGCCGTCGAGACCCGCGTCAGGGTAGACCAACTAGACGCGGGTGTCTGCGAACCGCTGGAAAGCGGGCTGGTGACCCGGGGCGGCTCAACGGGGGCGCCGTTGCTTGCGGAGTTGGAGTGGGTGTGGTACGGGCCGGTGGGCGGTTTAGCGGCGGCGGGGATGGTGGCGGTCTGCGCGGAGGAGACGGGAGGGGGAAGCATGCTCGGCATGCCCATCGCCTGTCGCTGGAATCTTTCGGGAAGCTTTTCCGACATAAAGACAGAGTTAAAGATAATTCTGTGGAACTTGAGCTGTTTAAAGCCCTCCTCGGCGGGGGTCGTCTCGATGAGGGTGAACTTTGAAGCCACCTTATCGTCTAGCTTATACGGCTCCAAGACCGGGAGGTATCCGTTATCGTGGCAGGGGCCGAAGAAGATATGCTTGCACTGGCCGATGCGGACCATGACGCGCAGCATCTCGCGAATCTTGTGGTCGGCCGACTCCTTGCCTGAGCCGACGTCGATGAAGCTGAATAGAGGCTGCGCGCGGCCAAAGCCGCGTCCGAACTCGATGAGAGTTCGTTCTGAGGTGGTGAAAGGAATGATACCGGAGGCGTGCAGCTTCTTTGCAAGGCCGTCCATGTTGAGTACCACCTGTACGATTATGTTCCAATCTTCGCTGGCAGCCTCGGGGTAGGCCTCGGTAACGTAATTCTTTATCTCTGTGGACAAAAGATACCCGGCTTCGGCACCTCCTTCTGCGCCCCTCTTCAATAAAGATTCCTGGAAGATGGCACCGTCGCCATCAATTATTACAAAGACGAATGGATTAGATTCCTGCCTCACAAGTCAGTACCTTCTCACCCTTGGCTTGGGCGTGAGAGCTTTTGCTCTGCGCCGACGACTCGTCGATGAGGTGGTTTGATGAACCACAAATCGGGGGAGGAACAGACGTACATTTGCCTTGTTAAGAGCCACTACGTCCTTTCCCAGATTATTGGCTTTGGTCTGCCACATTCGGCGTGATTCGCGCTCATTATTGTAGTCATCGCACTTTTCCCGGTAAGCTTGCTGAAGCTGGCCATGGCGAGCAAGTAAATCCTAGACAATGCCTGTTAGTAAATCGATCGTGAAATGAACGAAGCAGAAGAGGTAACAGCCATGGAGTATGCCCTCGTCAGGCAGTCGCGGGCGTTGGCATCGTCGGGAGATGTCAAAATCTCACCTGGATCATCTGATCACGAGTGTAATCATTGCGGCGGAAAAGCTCCAGTTGTTGCACGTATGCCGATAAATCCTCCGTTTCGTCCATGGTGTGCTAAAGCGGTAGCGACAAGTTTTTCTCAAACAATCCCGCACTCGAAAATATCTGCTATTGACTGTTCTATCGATGAAAGAGTGATGCGGCGACGTCTATGAGTTGGTGGTGAGATTGGAGGGGGTGAGGTGAAGTTGATGAAGTTTTTGTGACCAGACCCGGGGAAACATGCCCTTACTTAAGCGTCTCAGGTGGGGTCAATCCAGGGGTGTCGTTGGAGCGTTCCAGGTTGCTTCCAGGTTCCTTCCCTTCAGGCCATTCAGATTGCCGGGCGGCGATTGTTTTGGGGCTAAGAAAAGCCCCCTGTAAAAAGACCCTGCGCTAGGGGACCCCTCTTGTACTGCCCTGAACATATTCAGATCATATGTTGGGCATGTTCTCGTCATGATTGAATAAGAGAATAAGAGTCCAACAATGCCAGCCTATATGAATTCTGCTGAAAGATCTTGCGAAAGAAATAGGAAAAAAATTGGTAAAAAGATCAAGTGTGCGAATTGTTGACCGAAAATATGTTTGTCTGTAAGCGAAGCCCTTGGTACGTTGGTACGGGGGCTGCTGATTGTGTTTGTTGTCTAAACGTGGCATGCCCTGTTTTGTCCCTGCTATCTTGCGTCTCCCACTTTGTCGAGTCGTCCGAGCTTTGTGACAAGTATCCCTAAAGTCTGGGCAAACTCATATGTAAAGAACGAGTTGGCTCCTAACATTTGGCGCTTAACTTTGTAGAGGACTAAGATTCTAGAATTTTCGAGATCATGGTTCGGGCTTTTTCTGAAACTAGTCAAGCTGTCTGCTAGTATGACAGCTGCGCACTTAGGTAATTGAGACCCTTCGTTCCAACTCATTGAATGCTTGACTGGGCCTAGATTGGATGAATCAGCGAATTGGAGAGACCACCGAAAATGGTCATTCATAAGTGACAACAATTGAGGAGTTGATGACAATGCGGGCTGAAGCTTCCTAAGGTTCATCATCGATTGCGGGTCAATTGCCGACATTCCCCAGCACGCGATGGGAGTAGCTTGTCAGCAAGGAGGACAAATAAATTTAGTGCTTGTTGCAAGGTTGTTATGTATCCCTTCCTACCCTACCTACCCTACCTAGGTGAAGTGCCTAAGCTTTCTGGCTAGTTCATCAGATTTCTGAGCGCCTGGTTTTCATATCTCATCAAATAGGCTTTGATGAATCGTAGAATGTGAATCAGCACAGTAAACACTTCGGACAGATCGCAATGCAGAACGCTGATGAATGAGAAGGTGAATGGCCAAATTCATCATCATCCTCATCACAGGTGAATTGAGTGAACCTGGAGAGATTCACTACTGTGAAAAAATGAGGAACATTTTCGAATAAATTGACGCTCAAGTACACTCAAAGACGATACACCCTCAAACTATCTTAACTGCAGTGTAAATAACACCGAAGCAACTGACAATCAACTCCTCCTCCGACCGCATTGTCAACCACCTCACAGTGTATCCGAACGCACCACTCAAAGACCAAAAGAAACATAATCAATCAGGATGTGTTTCGGATTCTCTGGCGGCAGTGGTTCACGAGGCAACTCTGGCCGGGCGACTCGACGATACCGGGAGCCACGATAGATAGAAGACTCAACGCTGGACTGAGAAAAGACTTTGCTTCGAAGATACAAAGCAATGGGAAGTCATAGCCAGCAGGAGCATGGACAATGAATCAGGCGAGGAGGCCGAGAAATGGATAGCATAGTACCGATAAGCTCTAACCTTCATCAAAGCATCACACCTGGACCAAATTCCATTCTCGTTCAGCAAGAGCTCTTAGAACCTATGGTAGCCAGAGTCATCTATTCGACTCAATGAGCACTAAAATACACTAATATCAGTCCCCAATGACCGTGCGGCTCTCCAGGTCCATGGAGCAATGTTTGGCGTCTCTCTGATGTGGATGCCTCATCATCGACCGTGACATGTACCTCCAGTGATCATCGATTGGCAAGCTCAATGCCGTGCTCCTCCCGTGGAACCTTGTTCCCGAACCGACGTCCTTGGCCATCATAGTCTATGGAGTCCACAGATACCTCCGTTGTTCTCATAATCCCACCTAGAATTTCCTGATCGCTGTCATTGCCTCTCTTGTCGTTGTCCATGTTTCTCGAGGAGCAGGTGGCAGACATGCCGCGATTCTGAAACTTGCTGAGGTTATCCGATCGAATGTATGCGCCGGAGGGGTATTCTGAAGGGCGACTGCTCAGTGCGTTTCGGAAGAGGACTCGGAGAACAGGAATTGAGGCTGCGATGATGGTTGCGTTTGGTTCTGCCATCGCCCAGACCCAAAATATGCAGACCTTCCAAAAGTCTTGAACAATGATTATCAGTGAACGTCAAGAGCAATTTATAGGGCCGATTACTCACAATCAGGGCCAAGGAAGTCCATGATCGCGATGCTCTGGACAGCCTTCATTATACCCATCACACCTGCTCTGACCAGGCAGCTTCGGATTAGCTGAAACTCTCCAGAAAAGGGGAAGGAAGGTGGAAAGTGGTGCCATGCTTACAAGATTCCCATGCTCATGGCCATTCCAACGCCGATCTTCTCGTGCTTCCTCATTTGTAGGCTTAGAACGATCTTCCAAGGTAACAACGCAAGCACAAAATCTGAGACGGCGGAGTACACTATCAACAGTCAGAAAGCCTGAGCGCATTGAACAGCTTCGCGGGAAAGAGGACATACATCCTCCAAATATTCCCAAGGTGATTGCGTCTTGCGCTGACCAGCATGAGCCTGGAAGGTGAGGAGTCGTATCTCCAGGCCGTCGAGGACAAACAGCTCTCCAGGTGAGAACGATGTGGACGATGAACTGGACGTTCATCGTAATGACCAAGAACCATATAATGTACCTCTGCCACCCAGAAGCAATGCGAAGTAGCGTAACGGCGAACGACGTTTTTGTCAGAGCCAAGGAAATCATGTGGCAGTTGTCAGCGCAATACAACACCGTACTCATGGCCGGCGTGACGCCGTAGGTTCTCGCGAACCCAAGCTTCATCATCTCGCTCAAGAAGGACTGTGAGGCGATCAGGAAGACCCATCCGGCGATCAAAAGCCAGTCGTCCAGCCACATCATCCATCTAACTCTGAAGCCTTTGCAGTAGATTCGGAGGGCCAGAAAAATTGTCGAGATTGCTGCCATGGGCCATATTGAGCCATTGATCAGCGCTGCTGGATCACCTGGGTTGACTGGGGTAGGTAAATTCTCAACCCGTGGGGTAATTTCGAGCTGGATCATCGAGAAGGGCTGCTGACATTAACGGTTTGGGCTGAAGTTTGAAATCACCGTTTGTTTCTTCAGCCGCGGACTTGAGAGAATCTATGATGCGGATTTCAGCAGAATGTAGAAGGAAAGCCTACAGACCAGTTCTGCTTCATGACAAAGTCCAGACGGCGACACCAATCTGTTCCAAAGATCGGTGGCTTGAATGGGTCAGCAAACTGGTTGGAACTTGTGAACTCCTGGTCTTGTGGCGTCTTGAGAATATCAAGGGTGAGATAACCCCCGAGAACTTTTGATATTAAGGACAGAATTTCCTGCTGCTGTAACAGAACATATCTTTCCAAGCTTTCTCAACGTGCATAACGGCTTGTTGGTCCTTCGGTATACCCATGCTTGCCTCCAATGTATGAGGTCAAGTCTGTCCAGAGTCGAGCAGGGGACCCCTCCAGCAGTCAGTTCCTCATGGAACCCGGAGATCAACCTTGGCATGATTCCGAAGCCGTACTCTTGGAAAGAGTCCGTGACTTGCTGACTGAAGGCGGAGTTACAAATTTCCCCTGGCATGAAAATACGTGCCCCGTTGGCGCGCCAATATTTGTTGGACGCATGCAAGGGTAAGGAATCTGCAACCAACGAGCAAAGACAAGGATTCGAAATTTGCAAGGAGGATTTCGCATCTGGGTTTCACCGCTTCAAATGACAAACGAACTTTGAAAGCTCGTTCAAAATGAAGGGATGTTGAATAACTCTACTTGTCGTTAGGATAGGGAAGTCCGGAGTACTTTGCGTATTGAGAAACTCAGTTAATCTCAACTGGGCTGTCTTGTTCTTCGCTGTCCGTATACCAAGTGTCTCAGACTGTTGGTTGCAACAGTACTCTATTGCCAAGGCCACTTCGGGATCGTTCCGGACCTCGCCACCTGTTGGAACTATCCGCAGGTTGGTGGCACAGCGTATCGGTTCTGCATCATTACAGCACGCGCGATCTATCCGCAGGTTGGTGGCACAGCGTATCGGTTCTGCATCATTACAGCACGCGCGATGCAGCTAAATATCCGCAATTTGGAACCACAATCTGTGACGGCGTTATTTGCCAAATTCAGCATGTAATCGTTGCTTTTTTCCAGGGGCCCCTTTACTTTGCCACCATCACTTGCCATATTGGTCTGTCTATCAAATGCTTGGTTGCGAATCTATCTCGGATTCGCTTTCAGAATGTACCTTTCTTCGTATCCCATCTCTCACCTCGAGCGACGCGGGCTTTGCTTAAGATGAAGCTACACGCATTTTCTTCCTGAGCTGGGTCGTTCGTTGATATGTGATCTCCCACGAGGCCTGACGTTGAAGTCTGAAGGAGACCTCTTGTGTTCACCACGAAGCAGCCAACCTTCGGAACCATGGCTCTTCTTTCCATCTTTTCCACCGCGCTTCTGCTTCTCGATTCTTCGACTGCTCAAATCATTGCAGGCTTCCAACCAAGTATTCGTCAAGTTCCGGACGTAACTGGTTACTCAGGTGTAAGAGCGCTCCTTTCCCTGGAATTTGGTCTCCCGAGGGGTTCAACCCAATAGATGCTGACCTTTCTTCGACGCAGTGCGATGCTCTTGTTGCAGCTGGACTAGTTGATCGGGTGTTCTTCCCGCCTGATTCGGAGTATAACTCCAGCATCACATCATACTGGTCCGGAACCGTCCAGCAGCTTCACCCATGGTGCATCGTCAAGCCCGAGACAACAGAGGAAGTCTCGTCCGCCCTTTCAGCTCTCGTGAAGACGAGCCCGGCTGGCAACTGGGATATTGCTGTTCGGGCTGGTGGTCATTCTCACTACCCTTCCAATAATGTGGCTCAAGGTGTTACAATTGACCTCAGC